AAATATTACTTTTACTCTTTTTATTATAATATTAATATATAAAAATATAAAAAGAATTTCGTAACAGAAAATTTTTTTTAAAAAATTTAAGAGAAAAAAGTTTTTACCCAAACAAATAGCCTCAAAACAGTCTTTTATGTGTGATTAAAAAAAAAAAAAAAACTTTGAATTGGAGAGGAGGATTCGAGAAAGCTTCGAATTAGGTGGTCATTTTTTATTGTATAAATTGTTATATACTAAACTCCTCCATAACAAATTCAAACTTTAAATTTTAAAGTTATAGTCTCTATTTAATTTATCATTACATCAACACTTCACTAATTGCAACCCGTTACAAAGTATTAAACAATGATGGAATATGGCAACCGAAGGTCATGTTAGTTAGCCGAAAGAGAATTAATGGAGATTGACAATTGATAATAAGAAGATTATTCATCATCTTATAACGGAAATAAAGACTCTACACTAAATTAAATATTTTGGTATTGAATTAAAAATTGTTTTCTCTAAAATTTAAACTATTACATGAGAATTCAAGAATAGTATTAATTTTAACTTCACACCAACAAAATCATTAATCAAACTCTCTGAACAAAACAAAAATACGAATTTAGTGGGTGTACAGTTCTTTTTCTATTTTGAAACCGAGTAAATTTAGGTAAAAAAAATGTAATGGTCTATGGATGTTGCCTTAAAAAAACAAAAAACAAAACGGATTAGCATGAGCCAGCCGTTAATTTTGGGCTTTTGGCTGGCCTTATTAATAGGGCGGCTAGACATAATTAACAAATCCAGCTCCTGCTGAATCCAGATCGGTATTCTCAGTAGGCTTTTACTTTTTAGTCTAATGGGCTAGTTCAGCCCTGTGATTTATATTTAAGGCTGAAGTTGGGCCGGTTTGCAGTGTTTGTTTCGACATAAAAAATTGTGGAAGGATGGGTTTGTTCTGTGTTAAAGCCCAACCCTATGCCCTTTTGTCCTAATAATCTCCTCACCTAAAGCTTCAAGTGCTAAAAACGAGCTTGAGATTTATTATAGGCCCATCAAAAAACCTTTTTTTATTTTTTAATATTTGTGCCTTTCCTTTGTGGTAAAAAATGCTTCTGAATTATTTTTTACGTAACTCGTGGCTAATTTCTTCCCGATGATGTTAATAGCATTCTCCCACGATATGAAATGGTGCATTCAAGAAACTTTATAATATGAGTAATATGACCATGCGCTAGCTAGCCCATCCACAGCAATCGAACAATCGTTTTAATTCAATACATATGGAAAAGCCTAGGCTCGAGATCAAAGCTTAAGCCCGACCCATTTGTTAAATAGGTCAAGATTAATCCATTTGAAAGTAGCTCACTGAGTTGCTCTAACTCATTTAGAGTCTTAATTGTTATAAATTTATAATATTCTTTTTGCACGACATTAATTGTATTTGTATTATTAAAATTGTTAATTTTTTATGATAAAATTTATTTTAATTAATATTTTATATAATATTTTAATAATAATACAATGTACTAAAAATTCAAAAAATATTTTCCGAACACTAACACAGGTTTAACAATGAGACAATATAAACAATTTTACAAAACTGTGAAACAAAGCCTTGATTAGTTCACCACGAAAATTTTAAAAATTGGCAATGACTTACCTGTTTTTCAGAAATGAGTAATGATAAGCATATAACTTAATCTACAATTTTTCTTTATAACTTTCACATATTAGGTTCTAAAAAAACTTAAAAAATTAACTATTAGAAAGACATATATAAAGTAGTATAAAAAAAGTTTATACACAAATTATCACTAAACCATTGTCCTTCAAAAATTCAATGTTGATCAATAAGATGGGATTCTATTTAGAGCCCATTTGCCTGTTTACTTTCTAATTAAGGTCAAAGGTTCAAAATCTATTTCAATAATTTTTTTTTTAAATTTTAGATTACATAATAGATAGTAATTATCTTTTATCTCTTAACTCACTTTACTGCATGTCATGAACTTAAATTCAAAATCTCTTATTTTTTTTATTAAAAATAGATTATTACTGAATTATTTATGTTATTGACACTAATAAATTAAAATACTACAAAAAACTGTGATGCTACCTTCCAAAAGATTCTTTAGGACCTCTCAAGATTTCGAATTTGATTTTCCCAGCTCACCATCCCCTCTTATCATTGTTCACGCTGATCAACTCTTTTCCAATGGTTACTTTGTGCATCTCTTCATTGATCCCTCAAAGATTGAGGTATGTGAGGACTCTGATTCAAATTCAACCCTCTTAACCTCTTCAGATCCACCAAAATTTGTTCTTCCAGCTACCAAACTGAAATGTTTTTCCTTGAGAAAGTGCCGAAAAATGTCTAAGCAATTGTTTTTGAAGTACTTGGATTTTCTTAGGCCATTATATCAAAGGATACGAGGATGTAAGCCAGGTGACAAATCCAAAGGTGTTGATGCAAGAGTACAGGTAATGAAGAATTAGGTGTATTCAGTAGAAACCTCTCCGCAAATAAGCTTAGCATACTCAGCTGACAATTGGTGCAAGTCTTGTGATTCAGAAAGCTCCATTTATGAACCAGCTTTGCATTGCAAGAAATAGCCAAGCATCATTAACATTCAATATTTGTTTCCATCTACTTCTGTAATACCCCAAAAAAATTTCTAGAACAATTAAGTGTGAGCTAGGGACCTAATTGTGAGAAAATAATATTTTTGAGCTTAATCATAAAGTTTTCAAATTTGAGGGACTTAAAAGAGAAAAAAATTAGGATAAGGATGGCTGATTTTTTTTCGTTCTTTCTTTCTTCCTCAGCCACGCGATTCTGCTCTTCTTCTTCTCCCCTGTAGCCGAACAAAGAGCCCCAGCCACCGACAACACCCCCTCTTGGGAAACGGTAAAAAACTTGATTTTTCCTTTCTTTTCTTGTTCAAGAACAAGATTTAGACTTAGAAATCTTCCCTTCTGCAGAAAATTTCAGATCTACTTTATTCCTTCCCTTGCTCTTGGCTATGTGTGGGTGTGAATTTTTCAAATTTCTGGTAAGGAAACAGCCACTAATTCCTCTTTTCTCCCTTGATTTGGCTTGGGTTTACTCTTATTTCTCTTGGTTTCTCCCAATTTCCGGTAGATCCCCCTGATTTCTCCTTCCATTCCGTCAGCCTCCCCCAAACTCGCCAGCTCCGGTTTGCTTGCTGAATTTTCTGGTATGTGACAGCTCCATCTAAGTCCCAAATTACCCATTAGTTGCTGAAATTGTCCGTTAATTTGCTGCCCCTGCACTGTCCGAATTTTGTTGAAATAGGGGATGAATTTCGGTAGCAATTAGAACATTTTTCAGCTTGATTCATGTAGAAATTATCTTAATTGGCTGCTGTGAGGTTCTAGAGAAAAATCCAATGAAATTAGCTGTTGTTTTGCCAAAGCCGGTTCCTCCATGTTGTTGTCCGTGAATTTGGAGAATTTTGTATATGTGTGTTATGTACATATATATAAATGCACAATTTGATTTTGTGCTCAAATTTCAGATAGAAGAAAAATAAGGATAAATAAATAAGATTTCTTATGGGATTAATGGCCGGCAACAATAGGAAGGTTTAAATGTTTAGTTTATATTGAGAATAAAATAGAGATGTCCGGTCATATGGTTATTAATTTTGGAATATTTTGATTAGGTTCTTGATTATTCTGTCACCCTAGCACTTGGAGTGAGTTTTCTGTGTTATACGATTGAGGTAAGTAAATTATGGTAACTCCTTTCGATTTCAAAGTAAAAGCATATTTTAAATTGTTTTTAACATGGTGGCAAGGTTTAATTGATTTTATTAGCACCGAGCATGATTGATTTGAAATGGAATTATTATCATTTTCATTGAGTAGAGCACGCCTCCTTGGAGTTTACTTAACTGCCCTGATGAACTGAGAATTTTTGTAAATTATGATTTTCCTGTTAAATCCATGCCCACATGGGATTTTTCTGGTTTATTCTTTAAATTTGAGATTGATTGTGAATTATTGATTTTTCATGTAAATCCTGCATGATTTTGTCTTTAACATAGTCATGATTACTGACGCCCGCTAGTGGGAGTTTGCAATCGCTAGCACATGTCAACATGTTTATCGATAGGATCGGTTCATTCTGTAATCCTGCTAATGGGATAATACATTGATTATTACTGACGCCTGCTAGTGGGAGTCTGCTAGTGGGAGTTTGTTAAACACTGGCCATGGCTTATAGATGGCACTATTACTGAATCTTATTCTGCATTAACGGTTTATCATTGAACGTTTTGTTATGTTAAATTGTTTATCAGGCATACTTAAAATTTTATTCACGGGCTATCCATATTTTTACTTACTGAGATATCTTATCTCATAGTTTTCCTTGTCCACCATTTTAGGAAGTGAGACCCGAGGGACGGTTAACCAGGGGAAGTGACAAGCTAGAAGGCTAGTCAGTATTTTGGACTTAGATCCTTTTTGGACTTAGACCGTTAGTCACACATGCTTGACATAGATGTTAAATGATAAATCATTTTTTTGTATACTGAGTTTCCCTTGGTTATAGCCATTGACTGTTTTATAAACTTTCGTACATTTTGATTGGTAAATTTTTGGTAATTGAAAGCTAAATATTAACCGAGTGTTTGGATTTAAGTTATGTAAATTGATAATTATGAACACAGTAAGTTCTGAGTCTTATGCATTTGTAGGACCCGTTGACGAGTGCACGGTGTTTGTTCCGCTCCTAGTTTTAGGGCATGACAACTTCATTTTGTATTCCTTGTTGGATTTTCCCAGCCTTAACCACAACCATGAGCACCTAAATTCTCTTTATTTTTCTTTTCTAGTTGTATAAGCCTAACGTTGTGAGGGATTGAGGCCTTCCTCATGCAACTTGTCATCCCTTATCAATTCCTTCAATCATTGTAGCTACTAACAACGCATTAGCAATATGACAACAATGCCTCACCATATTTGGCACAGAGTTGTGTGATGAGATATAGACTTAAGTAATTATGTCCATGAACCATTTCATGATGAAAATGTAACTAGCTGGCCAAGAAACAAAACAAATTGGACAAGGGACCAAGGCATGTTATGTGCAATGTTGGTTATGTTTTGCCTTAAGGGTTGAGGTCATTTTAAAACTTTAAGCACAATGAATAGTGCATGTTACATTAAACATCCTCCCTCTGAAGTTGGTATTAAATTTAACATTCAAGGTCCAAATCAATCAATTGTTTAGCATTACAACCTTACAGTGTAGATATTTAGCACCAATTCAGCAACATTAGAGTATATAAGATATAGAAACATACCAATTCTAGATGTTCTTGTTTGCTACTGACAAAGACCTTGTATTTTCTAATGAAAAATGAACATAGATTTCAAAATTACTTGCATAAATTTTCCATATATGATCACGGTAATATGAGAAAGAGTTATAGTATGATGAATTTTGTTTCCAACAAAGTTCATTACTATAACAAACTTTTGAGAATTGTTTGGATTTTTCTTGAAGAAATGGAGAAAGACATTAAAGAGTTGAAATCCCATTTCCATTTCATTTTACTAGTATTTGTACATTACAGAGAATTTAAATTTTGAAATTCAAAGGTTCCTTAATCTAAGCATTCTCTATGCTTAAGCCAAGAAGCTCTTTTGCAAAAATATTTTGTCATAAAAAAGTATACATCAGATGGCTCTAACTTGAAATATAACTAGAAGGTGCACAAAAGGTTAGGCTTGTTTTAGTTTAACTAAACTGAACTTGTGTAGTTTGATGGCACTGATGTACTACTACTTCCACCAAAGCTACTTCATGTAACTGTCGTCACTCCTCCTTGGCATCAAAGATGCATATTCTAAGTTGTTCTCTTAATGGCTCAAACCTAGACTTCTATAATCCCTTTGTAAATATATATGTTTTCTGCTTCTTTGAACTACAGTAAATTAACTAAACTTCATCTTTGAAATTTTCTCTTGGAACCAATGAAGTATTAACAACTTTGCAACTCTTTGTATCAAACCCCTCCTGCATTGTAACTCTCCAGACCTTCAATCTTGTAGCTTTCAAGTAATTTGTAGGTTCTTCAATGACCAAATTACACATTTCATAGATATCAATTAGTGTTCTAGCTCCTTTAATAGCAAAATCATCATCAGATTCATTGTCATTCTCTTGCTCAACTTCATCATTCTCAAAATCGAATGTTGGTTCATCGTTAGCTATAAGAACTTGATCTGTAACAATAATTTATGAACTTTCCTAGTTCCAAGTTACACTTTCATCAAATTTTACACTTCTGCTCACATCAACAACATTAACCTTTGTAGTAATTTAGTTTATTTCCATTAAATAGGAAAACCCCTTTCATTCATTTTAATAGTGAACAAATTTGAATCAAATTTATCTTCTACTTCACATATTTTGTCATGAAAATGTAAGATATAGCCATGTTCAATCAATTGTCCCACACTTATCAAGCTATAGCTAATATTAGGCACAAATAATACATCATGAATGTATTTGATACTTGTTTGTGTCTCAACAACAGCTATTCCTTTGCCTTTGACCTCCACTAATTCTCTATTTCCTAGTCTAACTTTTGAATTGTATTTTCTATCAAGGCTTTTGAATATGGTTACATTTGGGGTCACGTGGTGTGTGCAACTACTATTAATCAACAAAGAGTCATTGCTGAATATGGTTGCACTACAATCTTCAATTTTTATAGCCAAGACAAATACTTTTCCTCTTCAACAATTTTTACAATTTTGGCTTGCTAAACCTAATTTGAACCTACTTTATAAACCCTTTCAACATGTTACAACTGTTTACACTTTTTGCATTGAACTTAAGGCCTAAACCAACAATATTTCTTGGAATGGCCTTTCTTTTTGCAATGAGAGCAAGGTGCATAGCTCTCCTTTTTGTTTTCGTATTTGTTGTTTTGATACCCTTCCTTTTTTTAGTTTCTTTGATCACCAAACTACTTGTTTTCATCTTCTTTGGCTGCTGCTTTATCTTTTTCAATTGCCAAATATGCTCTTTCAACGTAGTTTTCAATCCCCAAAGCCCTTCTTTGCTCCATAGCTTACAATGCAATAACTAAATCATTCAAGGAGAATTGAGATAGATCTTTGGAATCCTTTAAGGATGAGATCTTGTGCTTAAATTTCTTTGGTTGACTTACCAAAACCTTCTCAATTGCTATCTTATTAGTTCTTCTCATTACAATCTTATCTTGTTCACCACCTTCGTCAACTGGTCGAAGAACTTCTTAACTGTCTCTACATCCTTCATTATAAAGAGTGTGAACTCTCTTTTCAAATTGAAAACCACTATTTGCCTTGCCTTGTTATCACCTTAGAACTCTACTTTTAGCTTATCCAAGCCTCTTTGGATGTCTCACAACTCATGATTATATTGAAAATTTCATCGGTCACTATTGAGTGTAAATAGGTCAAGGCTTTGTATCTCTTTGACACCTCTTTTGAGAAGCTCTTAATTTGAGTAAGAATAACATTTGGAGGAAGAAGAGCTAGTTGTTGATCTATCTCAACCACTTCTTAGAGTTCGAAAGCCCTTATATATGCTTTCATCTTCATTGCCCAAACTATGTAGTTTTGGCCAACAAATATAAGGGTCTTTGCGGTGATACTGGTATTTGATTCCATTGGAATGAGGTGTAAGGTGTTTGGTGTATTTGGGTTTCTCTCAAATCTCTCACAGTCCCTTAAGAACTCATGGGCTCTGATACCATGTTTAGATTTTTTCCAAAGAAATGGAGAAAGATGTTGAAAGAGTTGAAATCCAATTTCCATTTCATTTTACTGGTATTTTGTACATTATAGAGAATTTAAAATTTGAAATTCAAAAGTTCCTTAATCTAAGCATTCTCTACACTTAAGCCAAGGAGCTCTTTTACAATAATATTTTGTCATAAAAAAGTACACATCAGTTCACATAGCTCTAACTTGAAATATATCTAGAAAGTATATAAAAGGTTAGGCTAGTTTCAATTTAACTAAATTAAACTTGTGCAGCTTTATGGCATTGATGTAGTACTACTTGCACCAAAGCTGCTTAATGCAACTTTCATCAAGAATATCATCTTTTATGATTTGCATGCATTTAAGCCATTACTCTTGGAAAATCTGCTTTATTTGTATGCAAACACCACTCAAATTTTCAACCATTGATGCTAAGAACTGACAACGATGTCAAATTCATGTTTACAGACTATAATAAACTAGAGAACTCCTTAACTTTCTCCTTCTTCTTATAAACTTGGTCATTATAACTATCTAAAATTCTTGAATAATTTGTTCCTCCAATGTTTGATTCGAGTTCTGAAAATACATAATTTACAAGGACTTACTAAAGAGTAATCAACCTTGGCATAAATTTGGACTCATTTGTTATCTATTGTTGTTGGGGGGGTTATAGGCAAGATTCTAAATCAATGCCTTCTTTTTTAGCAAACTTCAGGAAATTGTCAATATCTCTAGCATGGTCCAAGCTCCCACTTCTTCTGTGGAACCATTTCTTGTGTGGTTTTGGTTTCCTGTCACTAATTGCAATGGCTATGTCATTAGGAAAGAGGTCTCGGAAGACAAAGGCATGGATTATAGTTGTTACAAGTAAAGCTAATGCTATGAGTGTGGCGATTGCTGAGAGCATAACAGCAACAGTTTGATTTACTATAGTTGTGACTACACTTGAATATCTGATGCTTGTTGTGGCTGCACCAGTCATTGGAAAAGTGTATGCCCACCAAGCCAATGAAAACCTGTAAAGTGAAGTGAATAGAATTATATCCCATTTAACTAATAAAACTAGACTACACGGAAACAAGGAAAGTAGTTAAGAAAGGGTACTTACTTAATTCCGCGAAAAAAATTCACCCGAACAGCCTGCAGAACATAGCAAAAATAGTAGAGTTTAGGATATTGGTAATTAATCTTGTAAATCATAAGTGTAATACAGAATTTGAAACATCATTGATTAGGAAAACACAAAACATATTTGGTAGTTTCATGCTATATCTCCTAATCTTGAAACATCATTGAATATGTTAAAGGTATATATGTAAGGAGACTTACTAGGGAAAAATAGAGGAACAAAGCAATGAAGTAAGCAATTTGGGCTCCATGATCGAAAAAGCCTCGAATTTCTGCCCATGCCATGGAAGCAGCACTTGGAGTTGCCACAAAGAGGAAGAATACAGGATGGAGTTCTTTTGGGAGTCTTTCACTTGTTGGAAGTCTTTGGTATAGAGTCACAAACAAAACAATGTAATGAGCTAACCCAACAGCAAAGAAGAAAATAGGCCCTTCTTTTAGCCCTATTGAAGCACCTAACGTTGCCCCTATAAAGTTGCCAATAATTGAGAGATGGTTTGAGGGATTAGCTACTTTAGAAAGCTTCCTCCGCCCACCAGACATCCATTGACCATAGATCTTAAGCTCGAGACATAAGATTGGAACCATGAGGACATACCAAAGAGCTTTAGGTAAGTTTTTTGTAACAATAGGTGGCACTCCAAGACATAATAACAGGAGTACTATCCAAGGGGCAAAGAAGAAATTGACACGAATTGGATGATGGTACTCACGACGAACTGCTTCAAAGAAGAAGATAACTTTAAGAAGATAGATGGTGAAGACAATAGCTAAAAGAGCAAAAGAAATGCACCAAAGGATGCGATCTACTTCAAAAGTTATGTGAAGGAATTTTGTGGAGGGAGTTGTGGCAAGTGCTTTCCACATGATGGCTTGGCTACTAAGTCCTAGACAGATACCAAATGAAGAAATAGGAAACCTAAGAAGGAATGGCCAAGTCTTGTCATTTGGCAGCACAATTTCCTCTGAAGGCTGTAAAGTGAAACAAAAAATTCATTTCAGCCCTTGGGAAAGAGAAGAAATGCTTATGTTAGCTTATAGTACAAGGAAGATGAGCACATACTCGAAGAATTTCCAATTCAGGTCCTTCTAATGCATCATAATATCTGTCTACAGGCAAAGCTACAGGCAAAGCTTCATTCTCAACATTTTGTGGTTTTCCTTTCACATTTGATATTTGCCTTTCAAGTTTACCAGACCAAGTCTTAAAAGACTCAAATCTCATATCCTTCAACTTGCTAATGTTGGGATGATGGTTCAAGTTTCCAACTTTAACTGGCTCTTTGATGATAGTTCCTTTTGTCATTGATGGCTGAGAATAAAATTGCACTTGTTTTAACAGTCTTTCACCTGTCTCAAGTTTAACAAAAGGATCTAGAATTCCATCATGGTCAGCAAAATTGTTGCTCTCTGATGTGGCTTGCATGGGAGAAGTAGGCTTGCTAATTGAAACTGACTGTTTCAAAATTTCAATAGCCTGAGATTCGTAAGTAACATTCAAGACATCAAATGTCTCAATTACGTAGTGTGAATTTTTATAGGAAACATACTAGAATCTAGTAGATATATCCTCTTTCTTTCCTTTATCTTGTTATGGAAAATGATATGAATCATATACTAGCAAGAACAACATAACTACAAAACATAAACAAGCAAAACCAAAAACAATGTTAAAAGAATAAATAATCCTAAAACTGACAATATCATTAAAAATCTTTTTTTTTTCTTGAAATTAATTCTAGAGCTTACCATAGTAGATGAAGTGCAATGTTAAAGGCTACTATTCTGTTTGATGTTGTTGAAGCCAGAAACTTGATTTAATGATGTTAATTCAAGAAGTGATGGGAGAGGCTCAAGTTCAAGGTGATCTTGTTGTATAGAAACCAAATAACTGTTGTTTCCATTTGTGACATGCCCTCTGTAAAGTAACAATAAGGTTCAATATTAAACACACACTAAATCAAGCATTGCATCCAAAGAGACTAGAAAAAGCATGGTAGCATAGAACATATTCTAACCTTAGAGAAGTGGCTGCTCTTCTCACATAATGGAGGATGCCTAGAAGTTGGGTAAACAATAAATAGAATCACATGATAAACAAGTGGAGGATGCACCAAAACAAGTTGGCCAACATGTTGTAAGACAACTTAAAAGAGATACATATTTAAGGAAGAAAAATACTGAAGAACCATAACTAACACATATGTTTTCCCCCAGCCATTTGATGTAGATTATATTTAGGCAGAGGAATCACCTTTCTTGTCAAAACATTACATCAAGTGCACTCAATTTATGTCATTTTTATCTGTTGCTACTTAGATCATGGACAAAAAAAAAAGAAAAAAAAAAAGAAAAAAGAAAAAGGTAACACAATAAACCCATTTTTGGTTTTATTTATTTACTTATTTTTTTTAGTTTGATTGATTTATTATTCATCATTTACACTTAAGTTGGGATCCACTTATATACTAGCCTTATATATCATATGTACATGAAATTTTAACCATTCATCTTCCCACTTTTAACGATTGAAATCCATTCACTTTTTATCATATTTATTAAAAATAATTATCTTTTTCATCTAAAAAAATTATGATAAATCTCAACCATTAAAAGTGGAGAGATAAATAATCAAGATTTTATATAAATGTAATGTATTAAATTTATGTGTAAGTGAATTCCTAGTCGTTACACTTTCTCTTTTCTTAATCACCAAATTAGGTTTGACTTTACCATCTAAGAAAACACACTAATTAATGCTGTTGATCATCAAAAGAAAAGGTTGCCTCTCACCAAAGGAATAAAATAAGATTAACATACTTGTGCTTATGTTATTTAGGCCTTCCATTGAAGATTAGGAATTCATTAAAAGGATCAAATTTCAGCAAGATTTACTCCATTCTTTTTTGTTTGCAACAATTCAACAATATTTTGGTGAGTTAAACATGAGTAGCATTAAGGTTAAGCAAATAAGCAGCCAAATCATCAAATTGAAATGTATGGAAAAAAGGGTCAAATCTAAATCTCATTTAATCCTCCTAAGCAAGATGTTACAAATTCACATGTAAGTGTGAAGTCTCACGTCAGCAGAGATAATAAAAATAAATAAATATATTTGTGAAGACAAATGAATCCAATATTACAAATTCACATGTAAGTGTGAAGTCTCACGTCAGCAAAGATAATAAAAATAAATAAATATATTTGTGAAGACAAATGAATCCAATAGACTAGCATTTTAAATACACGATGATGTTTGAAATATAAGTATATATGTACCTTCCCAGTATAATTCAAGACCGATATCCATCTACACATGATAAAAAAGACTTGAAGGTGTGTGTGCCTAGGGGAGAGATGTCATCATTTACATGGTCATAAAAACTTGAACAAGAATGAGAATTTGATAAAAAAAAAAAAAAAGAAGAGATTTTATAATTTATACTTTTTAAAGTAAAGGTTGAAGTTCATTATTCAATATTTGTAATCAATTTTATACAAATTTTTATATAAGTTTTAAATATAATATAATATAATATAATATAAAAAAATATAATATAATATAATATTTATATTCAAATTTTGTAAAAAATATAAATTTGATATAAACATTTATATATAATTAATTAAAAAATCTTAATTAAAAAATTTTAAACTGCACCCTTAAGGCGCTAGGTAGATAGATCCATAATAAAATATTAAAAAAAGACAATGCCAGCAGCATAAAAGTTCAGAAGATTGAAACTCAAAATTCAACGTCCAACAAATCTTGATTAATATAAAACTAAATTCAACTGGGAATTCATGATAAAGACGAAGCAACTTGATCAATGGTCAAAAGAATTAGTTAGATAATACAATGACTTCCCGCTTGATCTGCGAGGGCAGTAAATAAATGTTGTCTTGTATAGTTTAAGTTTTAGAGTTATTAGTTAAAAGATTAATTTTTTTTAAATATATCAAGTTGATATAAGGTGTGTTCTTAAAATTGTAAAAAAAAAATGCAACAAATCTAATAAAAAAAGCCTTAATCATAAATTATTATTTTAAAAAGAAAAAGAGAGACTGCAAATATTTCTTTTTGCAGCTACAAATATTTAGAGATTACATCTGTATCGTAGAAAAAAAAAAGGTCAATGAGTTATGTTTGTTACTATAATAAAGGACATTATACAAGGTTAATTTTGACATGCTGAGGATTGGTTGGGTTTGAGAGACACAGCCCCCTAATCTAAGCAAAAGAAATTAATACAATTAAGTACTTGAAAAATTGGGATGTAATTGAACACATGGCTAGATAGTTTGCTAGATGAGCTGCATAGGGAGAGATACATTCCAGAGGGCCTATTTAGTCAAAGAGCCATTTTATTAAGAAAATTTTTATTGAGAAAGTAATTAAAAATATTATATAAAAAATTATTAAGTTTTGTAATGAAATTTTATTACAATTTTATTAAATTATTAATTTTTTTATATATGATAAAAAATTAATATAAAAAAGTTAGTAAGAAAAGTTATTAAGTAGGTCTCAATATAAGAAATATAAGAAAAATTATAAGAAAACTCTTTTTTCTTTTCCAAAATAAATGAGAAAAAAAATTATAAATTAAGAATTGTGTCAAAAAAAATAAATACTTGAAATATTACTTTTACTCTTTTTATTATAATATTAATATATAAAAATATAAAAAGAATTTCGTAACAGAAAAATTTTTTAAAAAAATTTAAGAGAAAAAAGTTTTTACCCAAACAAATAGCCTCAAAACAGTCTTTTATGTGTGATTAAAAAAAAAAAAAAAACTTTGAATTGGAGAGGAGGATTCGAGAAAGCTTCGAATTAGGTGGTCATTTTTTATTGTATAAATTGTTATATACTAAACTCCTCCATAACAAATTCAAACTTTAAATTTTAAAGTTATAGTCTCTATTTAATTTATCATTACATCAACACTTCACTAATTGCAACCCGTTACAAAGTATTAAACAATGATGGAATATGGCAACCGAAGGTCATGTTAGTTAGCCGAAAGAGAATTAATGGAGATTGACAATTGATAATAAGAAGATTATTCATCATCTTATAACGGAAATAAAGACTCTACACTAAATTAAATATTTTGGTATTGAATTAAAAATTGTTTTCTCTAAAATTTAAACTATTACATGAGAATTCAAGAATAGTATTAATTTTAACTTCACACCAACAAAATCATTAATCAAACTCTCTGAACAAAACAAAAATACGAATTTAGTGGGTGTACAGTTCTTTTTCTATTTTGAAACCGAGTAAATTTAGGTAAAAAATGTAATGGTCTATGGATGTTGCCTTCAAAAAACAAAAAACAAAACGGGTTAGCATGAGCCAGCCGTTAATTTTGGGCTTTTGGCTGGCCTTATTAATAGGGCGGCCAGATTCATAATTAACAAATCCAGCTCCTGTTTAGTTTTTTATTTTAATAAATTTGTTAGTTTTAATCATTTATCTTATATTAT